CTAATACTTGAATGATAGGACAGACAGACAGACACATACACACACACACATACATAAAGACAGGGGGACGGGTAGCGGACAGGGTATGTAAGTATTTTTGTTTTAGGTTTAAACACACACACAGTGTATAGTATAATATGTTTTAGTAGAAAATTTTGAGTTTTATTTTTGGTTGTTTGGTTGTGTGGGTGATGTATGCATTTGATTAATAAAAAAAACACTGTAATATATTGATTGATATTTTTTTGTTGGTTTAATTATGTTTTAATCAATCAAACAATTAAATTAGTTGTTGGATAAAAAAAATTGAATCAAATTTTTTGGTAAAATTGGTATGACTTTTGTTAAATATTTTTATCTATCGATTGATTGATTGATTTTGTTTGGATAGATAGATAGGCCGTACCTTTAAAAAAAATATTACTAATTTAATTAATCTCTCTCTCTCTCTCTCTCTCTCCCTCTCTCTCTCTCTCTCTCTCTCTCTCTCTCTCTCTCTCTCTCTCTCTCTCTCTGACCTCTATATCTAAACAATACATATAAAAAAATGTAAAAACACAACAATTGATTTTTATCTTTAAACAATACAAACAAAAAATATTTTTAATTAAAATTTAAAAAAAACAGATCAAACAAACACATCCCCCACACAGGGAAAGTTAGGTCACAAACAATCCCCATTGAAAAAAAACAATCGGATCAGCCGTTTACAGTATTAGACTGACAATACAATACAATACAAGAACCAGAAGATACCGACAACAACAACAACAAAATGTCCAGAATTAATGCCGCAATAGTGTTTGGCATACGAAAACAGTTGGCCCTCTATAGGGAACAGTTGGCCACTGGCAATCCAGATCCCGGACAATTGGTAGCTATTAGAGAAAAACTGACACAACTGACCGAACGAATTCAGCCGCTAATTGCCGAAAGACGTTGGGAAGCCCAGGAGGTTAGCCGGGAATTGGATGAGCTGGCCAGACAAGTTCAATACCGAATCATGGGCCGAGACAGTCGTGCGCGCGATGCTTCAATCGGCAGCATAAATGTCCTGCTAAACGGTGCTAACCAAAATGCAACGATATACTATCAATTAGCGATACCGCTTATTGATCGTGTACGGGCCAGTCGTATGAATTTACAGACAATAAACTTAACCCAAGATGGTGGCCGCTATTGGTTTCCATTGATAACCGGTACCGATGAACTGGTACCGATTACGTTGACTGTGCACCGACAGGACCTGCGTATAGCCAGTCATCTAGGATCGGAAAATATCTGCCATCAAGATGGCGGCCAATGGTTTAGCCATATTGGTTTGCCGGCGCCGATGAGCCATACCAGCCGACAGGCAATGACCGACAACTGGAATCGTGAGATCAATGACGAAGTACCCACTTATTACCGTCGGCCGACTGGACGATCCAGACCACAGTTTCTATGGTTTAGCCGACTGCCTGCTGCTGCTGCTGGCGGCGGACAACAATATCGCTACCAATGCTGGCTAAATCGTGACCAACCGTGGACCAATTTCGGACGGCTACAACAGTCGGCACCTGTATGGTACAATGATGGACCAGTAGTACAGGTAGGCCTACTCGAAGAATATGACCAATTGGTCGAATCAGTGAACCAATTGGCCGATTACTGTCGTACGCATATCGACCTGCTGAACGAATTGTTGGCCAAAATTGATCTCGCCTATCGTATCCAGAGGCAACAGTTGCCGGCTGATCAGCGACAACTGCTCGAGCAAAAGTATCGTGAGGTAATGGCCCGATTGTTGGCCGTACGCAATCATTTACGGGATCAATATCGGACCCTGAACGACAGTGCCCAACAACAGCTCCGGTTGTTTAGTACGCCCGGTGCTGGCGGTCTATTGATTTGTAGATATTAAAATAGATTGTTTATTCAATTTTGACTGAAATAACCATCTGGTTATTTCAGCCAAAATTAACTTATGATAAACATCGCATACCATTCCGATAAGGAATGGTATGTGAAATATAAATAAGAAATAGGCATCACATCCAATAGGATGTGATGCTGATAGGCGACTAAAAGTCGCACCCAACCCTACTAGACATTGACAAAACTAGTTGTCAATGGCATCAGAGAGCAGAGTGCGAAAAAGACTATGTATTAATAGAGTTGAAAATAATTGAAAATAAAGTAAAGAAAGAAAAGTATATGAAAAGTAATGAAATAATTTATAAGATAGTGATTGAAATAATAATAAGTGATAAAATAAAAGTAATATAAGAAACAGTGAAAAGGGAGGAAAGAGGACAACACTCGGGAGGACAACACACACTCGGGAGGACAACACACACTCGGGAGGAGGACAACACACTCGGGAGGACAACACACTCGGGAGGACAACACACTCGGGAGGACAACACACACACCCACACACACAACAACACACTCGGGAGGACAACACACACTCGGAGGACAACACACACTCGGAGGACGACACACACTCGGAGGACAACACACACACCCACACACACACACACACACACTCGGAGGACAACACACACACCCACACACTCACAACACACACACTCGGGAGGACAACACACACACACACACACACACTCGGAGGACAACACACACTCGGAGGACAACACACACTCGGAGGACAACACACACACACACACACACACTCGGAGGACGACACACACTCGGAGGACAACACACACACCCACACACACACACACACACACTCGGAGGACAACACACACTAGGAGGACAACACACACACACACACACACACTCGGAGGACAACACACACTCGGAGGACAACACACACTCGGAGGACAACACACACACACACACACACACTCGGAGGACGACACACACTCGGAGGACAACACACACACACACACACACTCGGAGGACAACACACACTCGGAGGACGACACACACTCGGAGGACAACACACCCACACACACACACACACACACACTCGGAGGACAACACACACTAGGAGGACGACACACACACACACACACACACACACTCACAACACACACACTCGGAGGACAACACACACACACAACACACACTCGGAGGACAACACACACTCGGAGGACAACACACACACACACACACACACACACTCGGAGGACGACACACACTCGGAGGACAACACACACACACACACACACACACACACACACTCGGAGGACAACACACACTAGGAGGACRACACACACTCGGAGGACAACACACACACCCACACACTCACAACACACACTCGGGAGGACACACACACACACACACACACACTCGGGAGGACACACACACACTCGGGAGGACACAACACACACTCGGGAGGACACACACACACTCGGGAGGACACACACACACACACACACACACTCGAGGAGGACACACACACTCGGGAGGACACACACACACTCGGGAGGACACACATTCACTCGGGAGGACACACATTCACTCGGGAGGACACACACACACACACACACTCGGGAGGACACACACACACACACACACACACTCGGGAGGACACACACACACTCGGGAGGGGAGGACAACACACACACACACACACACACACTCGGGGGAGGACACACACACACTCGGGAGGAGGACACACACACTCGGGAGGACACACATCGGAGGACAACACACACCCAGGACACACACACTCGGGAGGACACACACACACTCGGGGGAGGACACACACACTCGGGAGGACACACATTCACTCGGGAGGACACACACACACTCGGGAGGACACACACACACCCACGGGAGGACACACACACTCGGGAGGACACACACACACACACACGGTGATTATGATTGTAAAACACTTAGTATTTTATATGTAGTAGCACGCCTGAAGGTGCACCACCCAATCCATAATTATTATTTTATGTAGTATTTAACTATAAGTTTCAGTAGCCAATCAATAATTATTCTTTTGTAGTACACGCTATTAGTTTCAGACCAATCAATATTTACATTTATGTAGTGTCTCATTATAAGTTTCAGTAGCCAATCAATAATTATTCTTTTGTAGTAGCACGCTATTAGTTTCAGACGCCAATCAATATTTACATTTATGTAGTGTCTCATTATAAGTTTCAGTAGCCAATCAATAATTATTTTTTTGTAGTAGCACGCTATTAGTTTCAGACGCCAATCAATATTTACATTTATGTAGTGTCTCACTATAAGTTTCAGTAGCCAATCAATGATTATTCTTTGTAGTAGCACGCTATTAGTTTCAGACGCCAATCAATAATTACATTTATGTAGTATCTCACTATAAGTTTCAGTAGCCAATCAATAATTATTTCTCGTAGTAGCACGCTATAAATTTCATATGCCAATCAATAATTATTTTTAGGTAGTTGTACGCTAGAAATTTCTGAGATTACTTAATAACTTGTTATGAATCCTATTAGACCGTTACATAGGGACTATTTTCAGAAGTAGGGGATATTAAATTCCCTAAAAGCCCCACATTTGTTTTGTTTGATTTTCATTAAATTATGATTTCTTTAATTTTTATTTATTTGATTTAAATGTATTTTGCTTTTGTATTGTTTTTTATTTGCTTCCCTCGACTGACCCGGGCAGTGTTGCCCTGGGCCGGGTGCGTAGTCCCGGTGGCCGAGGCGTATCCGAAACAAAAAACCTATCCTTTTATTTTATGTTTTTATTTTTTTTTGTATTGATTTAACAATTTTTTTTAATTTTTTTTATAAAGTATATGTAATCGTGAATTATGAACGGCCGTAGTAGTTCACTTTTGATTTACTTGTCATTTATTAATCTAAAACACTTGAGTATAAGTTGCTCAATAGAAACAAACCATTCCATGATTTAATTTTATTATCCTATCAATCAAGTTATTTAACCGGTTTATTACAATTATTTTATTAATTTAATTTTAGTATAAGTCCTAGTGGTATACAGTTGTTGATTTTGGGCTATAATTTCACAGATAATTTATAATGTATAAGACTATAYTACTAGAAGGGAATATAGGGTCRGGAAAGACAACTTTTAGTAATTATTTAAAACAGTCTCAAATAGCAAATAGACTTTCAATACATAATGAACCTATAGATAGGTGGAGAGACTTGAATGGCCTCAACCTATTAAAGGCCTATTATAAGAAACCCAATAAGAGAGCATTTCTATTTGAGAGTTATGTTACACTTACAATGATTGACCATCACMGAGCATTGCCGTGTAATGGTACTGATATTAAGGTTATGGAGCGATCGTATTTCTCCGCAATTCGTGTATTTAAACCCACACTAGTTGACCAACACCTCATGTCTAATTATGAAAGCGAGGTTTTTGATGCCATAACTAATGAACAGTTATCCCAATATGCGGATGCCCTGAAGTACGATCTGGTAGTTTATATTGAAACACCTTTAGATATGATAACAAACAATATATATTGTCGGGCACGGGAAGAGGAAAGTGGTCACATTCGCGTCCCTTACCTCCTTGAGCTTAATCATTATTATAATCAATGGCTAGAAAACCTACCCGATAGTATTCCGGTTATAAAGGTTATGAATAACTCTACTAGAAAACACTTAGAGTTTATGACACCCACATACGTTGAGTCCATTGTGAAAGCACTTGACATTTAGAAGGTTGTGGGTAGGCGACCCGTGTGATGGCACCGCTGGGCGCCCGCTTCACAGCTTATAAATGTTTGATGTTATCTATATGTTTGTATTGTTTTAATATTTTGGTTTTATGTACTGTCAATAATACTCAATAACTATAAGATATACTTAGGTGTTTTCGGTGCAGTCGAAGCCGGTCACCCGATGTTATATCTAATATTTTATGCTTTAATAGCTTTTATGTTAACATATATCTAAACACTAACTTACAAGTCTTAATCATTAAATAGAACACCATGTCCGATCCAAGTGACGATAGCAGTGACAGCAGTGATAGCAGTGATAGCAGTGATAGCAGTGATAGCAGTGATAGCAGTGATAGCAATAATAGCAGTGATAGCAGTGATAATTATGATAACAACGATAGTAGCAGTTCATTGTCCAGTGTCGAGGAACTAATACGTGACAAATCAGAAAAAACTAATGTCATATCCTATACATTCACACCTAATGACCGACGTTATTTAGAGACAACTAAGTGTGTGAGGTGTAGAGGACAATTTATCGAACCGGGCTTGTACTACAAACATTTGGTCTACAACCATAAGGTCAATGGGTCCCAAGCCCGCCGAGACATTAAAGACATGATACATAGCGGAGTAGAACCCCCAATCGTAATAATCATAATTGTAATAAGAAATTTTATGACTACTTAAAATTACATCAACATCAAGTAGAAAACAAACATTGCAACGACGAGTTGAAAGTGATGAAATTATCTGAAAAAGAGAGAAACAATAGTCCATTTTATAAAATAAAATCCCAATTGTCTGTCACCAGTCTGACCATACTTATGGTAATACTTTACTCCAAACCTTTACAGCAACCAAATATAAYGGTATTAATAATTGGCCAAAGCTTATTCAAACTTCTTTTAAATGTAACCACGAAACTTGTGGTAGGATATATCAAACTCTGGGCGAACTTTATCAGCACGGCAAACTTGAGCATGGTAGATGTCATAGATGTGATGAGACATTCATAAACATAGAGAAGCTTGACCACCACTTAGTATACAAACACAACAGAGYTCCTAAATATCATTGCATTACAGGGTCATGTGAGCAAATGTTTTGTTGGCAAAACGCTTCGTTCCGACATCTTGATATTTACTCAGCTGATTGTATCCGCCAACTAAATAACGGTAGACCTAAATCACCACCCGATCCTTTGGCCAACCGAACCAAACGTATAACCAAACATAAAATGAAAACAACCAACGTTGAAAAGCACGCGTCACCATTTCATTGCTTATTATGCGAAAGAAAATTCTCAAGTGGCTACGATTTATACAACCACAAGAAAGCTAAACACAATCGAAAGCTTAAGTCGGCGAAGAAGTGTGACTCATGCCCCGAATTCTTCACTGAAAAGGGAGACCTCATTCTGCATCGTCAGCTTAATCATAAAATTAAATTTCGTAAATTCCCAATATCATACAAATGTGGTGACTGTAATAAGAACTTTAGGTCACCTAAAACTCTACGTGATCACAAGGAATCGCAACACGGGTTGGATATATTTGACTGCATTTATTGCAATGAAAAATTCACTCGGAAAGAGGATCTCGACTCACACATAAAAATTTGTAACTCCGTACGGATGAACCCYGAGACCCTAACATTGGAAGATAGTGACTCATCGTTTGAAACATTAACTCAAGCAATGAGTAACAGTCCAAAATCGCTAGAATACTCACCAATGGATTTACAATTAATATACTGTCAAAAGGAGGGTTGCGACGAAAGCTTCTTAACTGATGAAGACCTGAGTATGCATGTTTATCTTCGCCACCTCCCTCGGTATCCGTGTGCAATCTGTCATGCAAAATTCGAGTCAATCATCACTTTAAATGAACATGAAAGACGACAACACGGAACTAAAAATTTCGACTGCGTGTTTTGTATACAATCCTTTGACTCATATAACGACTGGGAAAAGCACAATAGTTCTTGTAACCAACCAGCCAAAGAATCCGATGTCATAAGTCTCGATGATATCAGTGATTCGTCAATGACGCCATATGTCCCGACATCATCACCACCTTTAATTTCGAGATCTCGAGCTAACAAAGTTCAGACACAACCGAGTGTTAATACGGGTACTATTAAATGTGATCATCCGGGCTGTCCAAAGATGTTCGCCTCAATAAGAAAAATGGTGAAACATTACAACACCCATAACCCGGCGATTATTAAGCCGCCGGTTAATTATTCTAACTAAATTCGATATCCTATACACTAGCATAGCGACATTAAACCCAGATGTAATATTTATTGTTGATTGTTTGCGCATGTACTGATGCTTTTTCTTTATTCTTTTTATCCCTTCCCACTAATAGATGTCGAATACCCAAAACCAGGATATGGACATCTCGGGCAGCGACAGCGACGAGCCCATCGACCCWAACGAGCCGGTCCTTCCGACGCAGAAGGGATCGCGCACAATTCGWAAAAACATTGATAAGCTGTACAGACGYGTCAAAGCCAGGATAGAAGCTCTMGAGAAATAYATCGCWGATAACCCAAACCCAACTAATTCRGARCAAGCGGCAAGAATAGGAGAGCTRAGGGATCAGCTGMGAGTACACCTACGTACAACYGCCGAYTGCKTGCATTACATCGARGTGCATCAATTTGCCAGACGTGAGGATCGACCCGAAACCTGGAAACACTTCAACAAGTATAAAAGTCTAAGAAAGCTACAAGTCCGCARTTTGATKTCGTTGGAACCTCGTCTTCGCCTGATATGTCCTCTCAAACCYGATCACGCCCCAATACTTCAAAATGCTAGATGTTTTATTTGTTTTAAAAAATGCTGTTAAAATTATTATAACCATTTGATGTGTTTAATTGATTAGTTTGTTGTTTATTAATGTATTTAAAATAAATGTTTTATGCAATTTAATTCAGTAGTTTTTTATTTTGTATGAATGTATGGACCCACGAATGTGGAGTGTAGGTTGTTAGGTGGTGTGTTGGTTGGGGTGTTTAGTGTTTATACAAAGGGGGAGGTCYTCCCTARCTTTCGGGTCGCCCTTTATCTCAATTAATTAACYATGACAAATAGGTTTATAATTRATGTAGACTTTGTTAACCAGAGCCCGCATTAATTTTATCTWATCATTAGATGTCGTTTCAAACAATACAAATAATCAATGGAATCGAAAAAATTTCCCTGARTACCGACTAATAAAAAGAGAGGTCACTAAAGAAARAGAGAKAATCACATACACCAAAAAGGAGCTCTATCGTMAAGTAGAAAAGGTTAAGAARGGCAAACCAACCTTCGATGTGGCCGTCAAACCCCAGTTCCCCGTAGTGGTGTTTCCCAAGCCTATTCAGTTTAAACTATCTGAATATTGGTTGATTACATTAACCAATTATTACAAACTAGCAATGGAAAGATATACCGATTGCCRATTGAAATTAAATTTTTATAAATTTGAATTATCGAGGATAGCTGACTATTATGAAATCAACTTAGAAGCAATAATCAATGAATATGATAATCATCTTCGTATACCTGATAAAACTAATTGTAGTGAATGTAGAAAATCGATATTTGTTTGTCGAACTCACGTCAGACCAGAAGATACTGTAAGTARACCAGAGGTTATAGACGAGGTAACACTTAAATTGTTGCCTGACATGTCTGCTGTAGCCATCGATGTCGAATCAGCCGAATTCATACCCAATACCACAAGAAAAGGCAAACCTATTGCAGTACGAGTAGCAGTAATGTGTGAARTACCTAAAATAGACAGAAAACACTTGAAGGGACGACCTCACGTACCCAATTATAAATTATTGTATCATTCATTCTGGTCACCCCCCACAAACGGTCGAATCAATTGTTGGAAACCAATAACGGGATACAATTTCAGAGACTTAAGGGAACACTCAAATCAAATGATGGACCGATCAATGGCTAAATCTAATTTCCTTAAAATAATTCAAAATAAAATTTTAGTGACTTGTCATCATGAAAGTGATCTTAAATCYTTAGAAATAGATCAATCTGAAGTTAACTACAGGGATATACAAGACTTTTATCGCCGACCAATGGACGCCGGGATACAATCAGTAAAATTGGAATGGTTAGCCAAATACATACTGGATACAGACWTTCAAAACAACAAAGAAATTAAGTCTCATAGCCCTATAGCTGATGCATGCGTTACCTTACAACTTTATAAGTTAATCCCAAATGACCACTGGGTCGACCCGTCTCGACAATTCCTGGGAACCGCGCCTAGATGCCCTGACATTTCTCTAATAAGATTTTACGACAACTTTGAACCTGATTATGAACCCGATTGTTAGATTAACTTTACTCTACTTTATGCTTCTTACAGTCAATGTTTTCGACGATTATACTTTTACTGCTYTGCTTCACCTTATCCAATGTCTTGTCGCGAGGACCTCCGTCCCTACCAAAATCGTGGTCGAGTAGAACATTTGGCTCGGAAGATAAGACTATAAACCTGGATAGCTATATGACAGMGGAGGATTACAAAGACAATATCCTATCTATGCATACATGGTGTTATAACGAGACAAGACATTTTATACGAGACCCTTTTGATACGTATTTTTTAAACGTAACTGGAGCTGATCTCGAAATATGGAGTTGTCCACCCACCCCTGTAGGCTGCGATGAATCCGTATACAAAATACACTGCAGGAAATGTATGGATGGTCTTGAATTGATTATATTTTTTAAGGCTTGGCGAATGTTGTTTCTCAAAAACGCTCAAATAACAGGCAAGGATTTACGAGTTTACAATTTATTGGGTACAACTATAAGTACAGATCCAGCTCTGTATAAAAGTGCAGCTATATTAACCATCTCCAAAACCGAATTTGGTCCCGAACCTGAAGCCATATACTTGTTAGAAGATGACCCTAATAGATTCGATAAAACCAAAAACTTACAAAGACTTCAAAGCACTTTTTCAT